TTGTAGGAAAGGATTGGGAGTAGAGCTGCTTCATTTTATAACTTTCACTATTATTAGAACATTTGAGTCATACGTATGTATTTTAACAGGGGTTTGTTGGGTAGAGCAATTATGGGCCATTTATGAGTCAATGTGCTTCATTAAAGTGATATTAAAGGTTTTTTCCTTTATTATTTACATTATAACAACCTAATTATTATTGGTTGTTGGCAAAGCCCTCAGTATCTTTAACATAATTGGATAAGAAACAATTTTCCCAAGCAATCTAAATTATCACCAACAATCTAAACCTAGTTTCTTCCCACTGTATAAGTTATAAAATCTAAGTCATTTCTTAGAAATTTAAACATTGTCAGTTTATCTGGAGTTTGATACATACTACTGGTGTTTGTCCTCCAATTTTTGATGCCCCAATTCCTGAAAAGTGTCCTTTGCATATTAAGTGAGCAGTAAGTGTTTGTCTTCCTGCATATGGGGTTTTTACTGCCAAAGCAAACTAGCTAGAGGGATTCACACAAAGTGACAGGAAGACTGAAGGACAACCTGGCTTACAGGTCTCCACCATTATCGTAGCTCTTCATTCCCTAGTATTTTCAGGGAGGGCATTTGGCTCCCATGAAATAAGAAGACCTTTATAACAGCAACGCAATTCATATTTAACTAAAAAAGTATTAAAAACAACAATAACTCAAGGCTAAGGGCTAGAGGGTAGAAGACATAAGCTACCTGTGTTCTAACTGAACTTCCAGGTTGAGTTAAATTTATATACAAAGACTACATTTACCTTGTGGCAGCAGATGTAGACACATACTCACATTCTAAAAATATTAGACAGTGTGAATTTATTCAAAGTTACCCGTTTTGATGGTTGTCAATTCAGCATAGGAGAAATAAGTAAGAAACATTTTTTTTCCGGTGAAAGCAGAGGATGTCTCATTTAAAACCAGTATCAGAGACCTACTAGAGAATGGACTTGAGGATATGGGGAGGAGGAAGGGTAAGCTGTGACAAAGTGAGAGAGTGGCATGGACATATATACACTACCAAACGTAAAATAGATAGCTAGTGGGAAGCAGCCGCATAGCACAGGGAGATCAGCTCGGTGCTTTATGACTACCTAGAGGGGTGGGAGGGAGGGAGACGCAAGAGGGAAGAGATATGGGAACATATGTATATGTATAACTGATTCACTCTGTTATAAAGCAGAAACTAACACACCATTGTAAAGCAATTATACTCCAATAAAGATGTTAAACAAACAAAAACCACAGTATCAGTACTTTCTAGTGTTTTCTCAAAAAGCACTACCATTTACCACAAACTTAGATCCCAAAGGCCGAGGGGGACTTCAGTACTGTACTGACTCCAACCCTTAGCTGGCTGCCCTGCCCCCAACCCCTGTATCCTGCTGCCCAAAGACAAGAACAAAGACCATCTACCTCCTACTGTTTCTTTTTTTGCATTTCGGCTCTTAAAAACAAGTCAATGGGTCAACATAAGGTACACTTTTTTTTGGGGGGGGGGGTGCTGATATTTGCAGTTAAATGAAAGATTTAGGTCAGTGCATCAGGATTCCATCAACTTTATTTAAATGATAATTTTAGAAAGTTCTAAGAGGAAAAATCAGTCACAGGAAATTTGGACTCAACAGTTTTAATCTGAAGACCTGAGGGGGGTGGAGGATGGGAGGACAGGAGGGAATAGAAAGTAAATTGACTCCTACATCAATGAATTGCTATCATCAATCTCTCTACTCCCCCAGTGAGTTAAATAATAAATTTCCTTCTAAAAAGGTATATTGATCTCAGGTCGAACCAGGGCCAATAAAATACAGAGAATTTATTCTGAAAAAGTTAACAGGAATAATCACTGATAATGTTTTCAAACACATAAGAACCTTTGAAAGTCTTCTTAAAGCAAACTCCCACAAGATTCATCTTTGCTGAAAATATTTTTAAGGCCTCCCTTAAAACTTCCTTTCAGAGCATGAAGCACACTTGCAAATCCTTAACAGATGCAAATCTATTGCGTTCATTTAAATATGGTTATGTGGGAAAAGAGAAGCACAAAAACAGTATGTATTATTAAATATTTACTTATTAAATATTTACTCAGTATAAAGTACACATCAGCCACCCTCAGGTCTTAAAACCACCTGTTTCCCATACCCATATTATGAATTGGATTGTTGCTTTGCTACAACCTTGAGAATTTTATGTTGGAAAACTCAGGTTAAAGGTTGCTCTTGATGAAAGATTAGAAAGCTGAGGGTTGGGAAAAGGATGATGCAGAGCAGACAAGGGTCCCCCCCAACCCAAAGAAGTTGGTCAAGAAGGCAGTTGAGTTAGGATGGGGAGAGAAAAGTGTGCTTAGGAGGGTAAGTTCACATGGCTTCTCCAAAGCATTAAAAAAAATCTCAGTCACCTAATATATGCTATATTTCTAAAACAAGAGTGAGACCAAGGAGGTTAACAACTTTCTTGTACTGTTTAATTAGAGGGAAAAAAAACCCACTGAAAATAAGTCCCTCTTGGAATATACATTCTTTGCAACAAGATGGGGGTGATAAATGGGTAGGAAAATCCCAGAGTGTCATGAAAGCAAAGCATGGATGTCTACAGTACCCCCATTTTGCTGATCATCTATTTAGTACCCTGTTCATTATCTTAAGCACCCCAAAATATGTTGAAGAGCCTGCATAGCTATCTGATCCTCGCCTATCCTTTTCTCTCCAGAAAGTCTTTCAAATTTCTTAAGATAATAAATTTATCACTTTATATTGGCTGATTTTCTTTCATATTATCTTGCAATGCTTGCTACCATTTATTAGTTGCACTTCCGTTTCTCTGTTAATATGCTGGGATTTAGTAGTGCTTTCACTAGCAAGCCTTCTTGTAAACGGGATAAATAGAACAGAGAATTGTATCTTACGTTCTAGTAGGAACAAGTGTTACAGTAACAGTGCTTTCTATAGCTGATGCAATTTGTTGCTAGCTTTATTATTATTTTGGTATAAAACTGCTGTGGCAAGAGGAAGAGGACTAACAAATTAGGACAAACTTTAGTTGCTTTATTGAGTCTGTGGAGTTGTGACTCATGATAGGAGAGGGCCTGGCATAGAAAGAACAGAATAATATAAAGAACTTCAAGGAAACGAAGTCAGATCCTGCAGAAAAACAAATATACTGGTTTCGCTGCATACCTTTTAAGCAACTGGAAAATACTGCCAACAAGATAGTATATAAACTTGATGTCCATTCTAAAGAAACACTGCAATTTAATATTTGCTAACTTTGCCTCTTCTTCTAACATCTTTGATTTTCTTGGGAGCTTGAACTTGTATTCTTGGTTTAGAGAATAAGGGAGTGGATAGGAAGAAGGCGCTGTAGATGGACAGTGTGTATGTTTTATGTAGTATTGGAGCTGGAAAGGGAAACCAGAGGTCAAAGTGGTTCAAAAGTTGGTTTTAGAATTGGAAACTGAGAGCTAGAGGATAATTAAGCTCTAAAGGTTAAGTCCTAGAAGTGGGTGGGGTCAATGCAAATTTAGCAAGTAGTAGAGGTAAATCATTTACCTTTGCAGTTTGAAGCAACCTTTGTTCCTGGGCTAAGAATGCCAGCAGAGCTCAAATTTTTCTGCTAGAGAGATTTCTAAAAATCATCCTTAGAAGTCAGCTGGTATAATAGAACACTGGACCAGATTTACAGAGACAAAGGGTCTAGCCCAACATCCTCTGTGCTTATTAGCCAAGCAACCTCCAGCTAGACTCTACCTCCTTGGGCCCTTTATTCTACATAATTTTTTAATAGAAAAAAATGGTTTTGCCACGTTACTTTTAAGCACTATTAAAGATGCACTGTGCGATTTTAAGGGGGGAAAAGTAGCGGGGGAGCCTTTATTTGCTCAAAGAAAGCAATCTGACTGCAGAAGAAGCCAAATCTACAGACATTCAAAAATTTAAACTACAGGATAACTTAGTGACTATCAAATTTTAACCGACTCATCCCCTTTCTTCAAGCACTTTATCTTTTCCTCAAGCTCAAATCTGGTGCTAGCCTGAACCAGTACACACCCACAGGGCTATTTCATTCCATTGGCTGGCGGGCCGTCCTGCAGTCTACACCCTTTAGATTTACTGTCAGGATGCCTGGTGTTTGTCAGGTGTTACACTGCTCATGTATTACCTTTTTCTGTGTGTGCAAAACTGAAGCTGCCAGAGTAGGAAAGTAATTTAATAAAATATCGAAGTATAATTAATAAATTCATCTGGTTAGTAAAACTCTGAATTTCAAACTTAAAAGGCAATTCATTTTGTATGTTCCTGTATCATCTGTCACTGTTGTACAAAGAGTGAAAAAAATCCGAAAACAATTATTTTGTGGTTTGCGTTCGCCTGAGTCATAGAAGCCCACAAAATCTTGTAGAGGCACAATCTGATGGGCCGGTCATTTCCTTTTCTACAAGTCATTTCCGTCAAGACCCACCCTGTTTGTCACAGTCGCTAGGATCAAAAGAGCGGTGGCAGTGTCTTCTGCATACAGCATCAACAAGCATAAACCGGGGATGACGGCTCGCGGGGGAAGGACCAACTACGTGGTGGGGATAGGGCGGAAAATTCACTATCCACCAGAGCCTGACACATCCCAGGCCGGGGCTGGGAGGGAGCGGGGAACGTGGGAGGGGACAGTGCCCGCCGGGGCTGAGTCGAGCCGTGACCCGGAGGCAGGAGGCCGGGCGGGGCGGGGCGGGGCAGGGCCGCGGGACAGGGCGCGAGGGGCTCACCTCCCTTGCAGGGCGTGCGGTGCTGGCTGTGCTGGGCCCGGTAGCCCTCGATGACCTCCCAGGAGCCGTCGTCGCGCCGGATGGGGAAGGACAGACTCAGCACATGGTTGCAGGGCTTGATGATCCGCAGGATGCCACGCACCCGGTTCCGTTTCTGCTCCTCGCTCTCCCGGGTCTTGAGGTCCTCCACCAGCTTGTCCTCCACGATGCTGGCGCCACGGTCGAAGAAGCCCTCCACCATCTTGAAGAAGTTGGGGTCGTCCTCGCGGTCGGCCGCCGCCTCGCTGTACTGTCGCCGGCCGGGCGGCGCGAGCCCCGGCTGCGGGGCGGCGGCGGCTGTGGCGGGCTGCCCGCGGGCCCGGCCCAGCAGCGCGGCCGAGTCGGCCGCCGCCGAGCCTAGGGCTGCGGGCCCGACGCGGGACAGCAGCAGCGCTTCACCCAGGCACCGGTACATGTCGGCAGGACGGAGGCCGCAGAGGCAGGCGCTCTCACAGGCCCGGGGACGGACAGAGGGAGGAAAGGCCCGGCGCGGGCTGCCCTTTTAAGCTGTAGCTTCCTGCCTTCCTGGCTGTCCCCTCCCCTCCGGCGCTCGCCGCCTAACGGGAGGACGCACTTAGGGTGCAGTGGGCCAACGTTGCCTGTGCCTTGCAGGGCAGGGGGCGCGCGCCGCCCAGGGAGCCGGGTCGGCGGCGTGCGCCGGCGGGGGCTCTCGGGGGCGCGCAGGCGTGGGCCGTCCTGGTGCGCATGCTCGCAGGGCGAGGGGCGGGGCGAGGCACCCTACAAGCTTCCGGGATTTGCGGGGAGCAGGTGCCTCAGGTTTGTACGCACCCCGGGCCTCGTCCGGAGGGGTGTTTTGCCGGGGGAGGGGGCCTTCCTGGGGAAGGGGCCCATCCGCCTCTGGGGGGCGCTGAGAGTCCGGTCCCGAGACCGCGCGCGGGTGAAGGTGGTGCGGTCTGGCGGTGGGCCGAGGGAGAATGAGTCATGGGTGTCCCTCCTTTCCGCCCGCGCGCCCTGGGGCGCGGGGCAGCCATCCCGTCACCCTTGCATCTGTCTTGGGGCGGCCCGGAGAAGCAGCGTTTGGAGGCCGGGCTAAGAGCTTGGCTTTATCCGCTGGGACTTCGAAGAACTCTTGTCATCGGAGTTGGGGTTTTGAAGTGGCTTGCAGGAAGTGGAAGGGAGAAAGCCTGAGAGCTGGGGAATCCCTTACCTATTGGCTTTCCCCACTTTAAGTTTTTAATTTTGTTCCATTCAACCACTCAATGAGGTTGAGATGAAATAGTTATGTTGTATCAAATACAAATTTGATACAAATCGTTGTATCTTTCTAAAATTTACTGAGTGTGCTTCCCCATTTCAGAGATACGTTCTTGAAATAGTCTAAAAACAAGGACACTGTAGAAATGCAATAATAACTCCCGGATATTGTTTCTCAGTAGCATATGTATTAATGGTCCAGAATAGGATTTGTAAACGTTAAAGGACATGAGGGTTTAATTATGTACTTACAAATGCTTGATGAGAAATGCTAAAGTTATACATTAGATGCTTGTAAAAGTCTAATGACTCAGTTTTTAAGACAAGCTATCAAAGGCCGCATAACCAGCTTTAGCGGTCCCAGTGTACTTTCGTGATTTTAAAATGGCACTTTTTTGACCTGCAAAACGATTTTGCTTCCTGACATTCACTTTATTCATCTATTAGCATATGGAAGAGAATGTTTTAATTCTCACAGTATTATGTACAGTATAAGGTGATAACCTAGATGAACTAAATTACATTAATCTATTCAGTGTGCTGTCAAAGCAAAAAAGGCGGAGCTTATCTTATTTTTATCTTTTTTTTTTGTATTATTTGCTAGATAAATGATAGTCATTATATTTGTATTGTGTTTTTCAGTGATAACTATTCTCTGGACTGAATCCTGAATTTGTCTTGTTGGTCAAATGATTAAGGTACTAAATTTCCTTTTCACTTGATAGTATTATTTTATATTGCAAAAACAACAACAAGCAAATACAAAGTATCAGAATAAAGTGATTAGAATCAGTGAACGTGGAAATTTTTCCCCTTCAGATTAAATTCTTAGGTATGTTTTGAGGAAAGTGGTTTAAAAGCTTAGTTTTATTGCCCTTGTTTATCTCTTTCTTGATAACTATAGCCTTCAGAAAAATAAATGTTTAACTTTGCTTCTTCCCAGTTTTGTTCACCTGAATTCAAGAAGGTAGAAAGGCTATGGAAGGAGAGAGGAAATTTTAACTGAGAGTCTCCTATGTGTAGATGTTTTACGAAATATCTCTAAAAGAACCCCTAAAAGTAGATTTTTTAGTTTTTAAAATCATTATGTTTTTAAATTATTTACAAGTTGTAAATAAAATTCAAATTGTATAGATAGATTTTTTAAAAAGAGTGGAATAATCCAAACACTGTCCTGACCCCCACCTTCCCATTTAGTAAGCAGTTGGAATGTTTCTTTTCATTCTGAAGTAGGTATTATAATTCCTGATTTATTTGGAGGGTGAACTGAGGCTCACAGAGACCAAGCAAATTGTTGATGATCACCTAGATGGTAAATAGCACGCTAAGATTCACACCATGTATCTGACTCGAAGTTATGCTGTTCCTGTTATTCCAAGAAATATTTTAAGTGTTTGTTGCATTTAGTTTAAACTTATTTACTGTGATGTAAAGTCTAGCAAGTTTCAGCTTTACACTGATGATTCCTTTATAAAATATACAGATACTTTGCAAATTAAAGTTTATTGATAATAATTTTCAGTTCAAAAGGAGACTAGATTGGGATTGACATGTATACACTAATATGTATAAAATAGACAACTAATAAGAATCTGCTGTATAAAAAATAAATAAAAATTAAAAAACAAAACAAAACAAAAGGAGGCTAGAATTTAACTTGAAGGGAATTTTGGTCATTTGATAGCATTCAAAAAAGACAACTGGTTTTCTGCCTTTAAGGTTTATGAGTTTTCCTTAGCTGTTTCAAAATTCCAGGTCTTTTCCCTTTGATTCATAGCATGCATTTGTGCTTTCAAGTGCTTTTAAAAATATTTTAGAATTATTTTAGGATTTAGAAAGACAGCATATAAATACAGGAACAACATAGTTGTTTTCAAAATAATTTAATTTGGAAAGGTAATACATACTTTCTACTTTCTGTCTCTAGATTTGTCTGTTCTGGACATTTTGTTTAACTGGAATCGTGCAATCAATATATGGTTCTATATGGGAACATATGTATATGTATAACTGATTCACTTTGTTATAAAGCAGAAACTAACACACCATTGTAAAGCAATTATACTCCAATAAAGATGTAAAAAAAATTAAAAAAATAAATTAAAAAAAATATGGTTCTTTGTGACTGGCTTCTTTCACTTAGCGTATGTTTTAAAGATTCATCCGCGTTGTAGCATGTATCAATATTTCTTTTCTTTTAATGGCTGAATAGTGTTCATTGTATGGCTATAGCCCTCTTTTTTTAATCTATTCAGCTTTGATGGACATTTGGTTATTTCCACTTTTGGGGTATTGTGAATAATGCTATTATGAATGTTGTACAAGTTTTTGTTGAGATGGATGTTTTCAATTCTGTTAGGTATGCACTTCAGAGTGGAATTGCTGGGTCTGTGTTTAATCTTTTGAGGAGATGCCCAGCTGTTTTCCACATAAGCTGGACCATTTTAATTCCTATAGGCAGAGGATTCTAATTTCTTTGTATTCTCCCCAACACTTTTTTTTTGCAGATTTTTATTTGCGTATAGTTGCTTTACAATGTGTTAGTTTCTGCTGTACAGCAAAGTGAATCGGTCATACGTATATATATATATATGTATATATATCCCCTCTTTTTTAGATTTCTTTCCCATTTAGGTCACCACAGAGCATTGAGTAGAGTTCCCTGTGCTATACAGTAGGTTCTCATTAGTTATCTATTTTACACATAGTAGTGTATATATGTCAGTCCCAATCTCCCAGTTCATCCCAGCCCCCCAACACTCATTATTATCTGGTGTGAAGGGGTGACTCATTTTGGTTTTTATTTGCATTTCCTTGATGGCTAATGATGTTGAGCATCTTTTTATGTACTTATGATTTGTGTATATTTTTTTAAAAGAAATGTATATTCATATCCTTCTTCCACTTTTAAATTGGATTGTCTTTTTATTGTTGACTTGTAAGCGTTCTTTATATATTTTAGATATAAATCCTATATCAAATATTTGATCTGCAAGTGTTTACTTCCATTCTGTGGCTTGTCTTTTCAGTTTGTTGATGATGTCCTTTGAAGGACATAAGTTTTGAATTTTGATGAAGTCCAACTTCTAAATGTTTTCTTTTGTGGCTTGTGCTTTTGGTGTCATGTCTAAGAAACCATTGTCTAATTGAAAGTCGTGAAGATTTACACCTGTGTTTTCTTCTAAGAGTTTTGTAGTTTTAGTTTTTACATTTCAAGTTGATTTTTTGTGCATGGAGTAAGGAAAGAGTGCAATTTCATTCTTTTGCATGTGGATAACCAATTGTCCCAGCACTATTTGTTCAACAGAAGACTATTTCTTCCCCACTGAAGTGTCTTCACACTCCCTTGAAATCAATTGACCTAGATGTGAGGGTATATTTCTGCATTCTTTAGTTCTTTTCCACTCACCCATATGTCTGTCCTTATGCTAGTACCACAGGGTCTTGGTTAGTGCAGCTTTGTAATAAGTTTTGAAATCAGGAAGTGTGAGTCCTCCAACTTTGTTCTTTTTCAAGATTGTTTGGTTCTTCTGAGTCCCTTGAATTTTCATATGAATTTTAGGATCAGGTGGTCTATTTCTGCAAAGAAGTCAGCTGGAATTTTAGTTTTATGTTGAGTCTATAGATCAACCTGCGGAGTGGTGCCATTTTAACAATATTACATCTTCTGATTCATGAACATGAGATGTCTTTTCATGTATTTGGGTCTTCTAAAATTTCTCTCAGCCATGTTTTGTCTTTTCAAAATATAAGTTTTGCACTTCTTTTGTTAAATTTATTTCTAAGTATTCTTTTTGATGCTATTATAACTGGAATTGTTTTCTTAACTCCATTTTCAGATTATTCATTGCAGGTATACAGAAATACAGTTGATTATTGTATATTGATCTTTTATGCTTCGACCTTACTGAACTCATTTATTCGTTCTGATAATTATTGTAGTGGATTCATTAAGATTTTCTCTATACAAGATCATGTCATCTGCAAGTAGAGGTAGTTTTACTTCTTTCTTTCCAATCTGGATGTGGTTTATTTTATTGCCTAATTGCTCCTTACTCTTTTTTACTGTTGTATAGTTCTTCATTGTATGGTTGTGCCATGATTATTTTTGCTCTTCTATCATTGATGGACGTGTAGGTTGTTTCCAATATCTTGAAGTTACAGTGGTGCACCAGTGAATAACCTATTACATAGAATATCAGTTTTCAAACTCTTTCATCTCAGGACTACTTTACCTTAAGAGTGAGTAGTGAATTTGAACTTAGAAAGAATTTAGCAGACATCAGAATTTTGTTTTTCTTATAGAGTTGTTTAGTTCATATTTGACATAAATTTTCCTCTCTGGATATTAAAAATGATATAATAAAACCAAATGATATAACAAATCAAATATTTAATTTTTTAAAGGGCTTTTAAAACAGGGAACTAAAAATCTTGATTTTTTAATTTAAATCAGGTCCCTATGTTATTAATTCTTATTTATTTATTTATTTATAAGGCTGCTTTGGGTCTTTGTTGCTGCGCGTGGGCTTTCTTTAGTTGCAGCAAGCGGGGGCTACTCTTCGTTGCGGTGCGCGGGCTTCTCATTGCGGTGGCTTCTCTTGTTGCAGAGCACGGGCTCTAGGCACACGGGCTTCAGTAGTTGTGGTTTGCGGGCTCAGTAGTTGTGGCTCGCAGGCTCTAGAGCGCAGGCTCAGTAATTGTGGCGCACGGGCTTAGCTGCTCCGCGGCACGTGGGATCTTCCCGGACCAGGGCTCGAGCCCGTGTCTCTTGAGTTGGCAGGCGGATTCTTAACCACTGCGCCACCAGGGAAGTCCCCCCCCCCCCACGTTTCTAATTTTAATAGGTTTTAGTTCTCAAGTGCTTGTCAGTACCTCATTAATCAGCCAGATGAGTGTGGGGGAGAGAAGAGTACCCCATAAAGAGGGGAGACCATTTGCAAAGTCCTGAAGATAAATGTCAGCATGGTTTGAAAATACAGGGTAGTGTATATTTTGGTTAAAAGCAATTTGATCATCATAACAGTTTGGCTTAAACAGCTGATATGAATATCTCCAGTTCTGTTTTTTATTCAAGTATTGGTAATTTGGGTGCATCATGGATTGTTTTTCAAGTCTTTGTGCCATAGTTTTCAGGAGAATTTTTTCTAATATTTGCTTTTGTGCTTCTGATTGATATTCAGAAAAGTTTGTAATTTTGGATTTTTTCCCCCTTTAGTGAGTATGTTTTTGTAATAAGCAGAAAAACAGTAAAAGAAACTATATCCAAGAAAAGGATCTGAAATTTTCAGGGTTTGTAGTCTTTTTCCTCTTAAAAAACTTTTTTTTTTCTTAATAAATCAAATGTCGGGTATATCTGCTTGGCTAGTTTGGCTAAGTTTTCATTTTGCTGTGTTGCTGAATAATATTCAACAAAGGTTTTATCAACTCTTGCTTAAGGGTTCTTTCCCTGTTATGAGTAAACATGAAAAATCATAGTAGGTTCTTTATCCCTTTAAGCATAGCACGCAAGAAACAAGTGAGGTCTCTTAAAAATTAACCGTTCTAAGGTAGGATTTTGAACTCACGTGTATAATTCATTATATCTCTGTCTCTCTCTTTTTTTAAATTGATGTTAAGTTTTTTGCTTTCCTTACAGGTAAAAAGGATAGTACCTTGAGTTATTCATTATTCAAGATGCCTCACCATTCAGCTCCAC